ATCACTCATTGTTACCATTACTGAGTTTATTTTGTAGATGTCCTACATTTGCTACAATAGGGGGGTTTTCAGTTACCCTTGTGGCATGATGTCTGTATATTTCTGTACGTTTTTCTACGTGTATCTTTGAAAAGTTGTTTCTGTGAAACCCTTTATAAAAATGATTTCTGTAAAAATTAATCTGGCGACAGGTAAGTCGCCAGGATCGCTTCTGTTGTAAAGCCGACAGTCGGCTCTACAAGTTTAAACAGAGTCCCGGCGGCAAAAGTCGCCGGGAGTCTGTTTAAACAGCCCCGATGCTGGCGACGTACACTGTACGTCATCAGTCACGAAGGGGTTAAAAAAACCACAATAATGGGGCTTTAAAAGTGTCTTAAAGAATGTGGGAAGGAATATATGGTAAATATATATATATATCATGTATTAGCACCGAGTCCAGGGAGGTTTATTTATTCAATCATCTATTTTTGTAAACTTTGTAGATGAAATGATATGTTTTTAATTTTATTTATTGAGATCATGGAATAAAAACTTTTTTATATATTTGACAACCCATTATATTTTGTTAATAGATTTAGTTATGTTATCCTACATTCTTTAATAGGCACTTTTAAAGCCGCATTATTGTGTTGTTGTTTTTTTTATGTATTGAATCTAGGGGTGTGGTGTCCCAGTTCTGATGGGTGCTCCGGGAAATACTTGTTTCTTTTTCTGTAAAAAGGATAGCTGGAGATTGAAAGTGAAATCAGATTTTTTTTTTTTTTTTTAATATGTGGTAATACAGACAAATAAACCCCATGCCTTGATATGGAGGTAGATAACTGTTGAGAGTTTTGAGGATTCTGAAGGTTTTCGGGATAGGCTGCGTCAGTGGGTAATTTCTGATCCTAGCATCAGGTAGGTAGGGCATGCTGGGATTTGTTGTTCTTGGATACCATATTTTTCCGTCTATAAGACGCCCTTATGTATAGGACGCCCCCGTGTATAGGACGCCCCCCACTTATCTTACCCAAAATTCAGATCTCAATATTTTCCATGCTCTTTTGCATAACTGATTACATCCAGTTTACATTTTGCAGAGTAAGACCGCCGCTTCCTGGTATTGACCGGGATTTTTTTTTGTTTTCTGGCATTTTATGGGCTCAGAATGCTCCGACATTACCGCTCCCTGTTGCATCTGGGCACTGGCTACAGGCTCTCCGCAGCATCAGCTGACGTTGGGTACATAAGGCTCATGATTGGAGGAAACCTGTTAGCTTGTCTTTGCAATCGGAAGTTTCACTCGTGAGGCTAGTTTGCAGAGGTATCGGCAGTTTCGCAACCGCAGTTCTCCTCTCGGTCCCCCGTGTATAAGACGCCCCTCCATTTTTAGGTAAATATTTTTATGAAAAAGTATAGTCTTATACACGGAAAAATACAGTTTTTAAGGAGCACTGATTTCAGTACAGCAGGTGAAATCAGTCAGTGAACTTCTAAAGTTATCCAGAAAACGCTGCAACCGTGCTAAGTTCAGAATGTCCTGGAAAGTTTTATTGAGTGCACTGTGGTGTGTAATGCAGGTAAAGGTTGGTGCCATGAATCTCTCGTGGGTGCTTCTGGATGAGTCTGCTCCTCACATCTTTCTGTACTGTACATCTCGTTATGTACATCTCTATTTCTCTCTCTTTCTCTCTCCTCTGTCATAGTAAGAAGCTGAACTTTGGAATACCTGACTTAAGCTGGCCATACACTGATCTGTTTTTTTCATTCAGCCCGCGGGATGAATAAAAAAATAGATCTGATTCCTCCATCAACACTAACAGCGTGTCAATTGAGGAATCGCCGCTGTTTACATTGTATTCAGACAGGTTCCGCTGACTGCTGTCAAAATACCCGACCATAGCGGGCAGCTCATTGGCTTTACATGGTTATGGTTTTACATTTTCATTTGTCTTAGCAGTTGGTATTCAAATTGCATCATGTAGGTAATCGGGGGCCCTGCAGCTATAACTGGATAAAAATGCTATGGGTGGGTAGGATGTGTTCCATGTATGCATTTCAAAGATTTAAAGAGAACCATACATTTATTATGGCTATCATTTAATTGCTCCCGTTAGCCAAGTCATATACTTGCCTGTTCCCTCTGAACATTAGATTGTATGCCTCCTCTAAAATCATCTTCTTCCTTCTTCCTTCTTCTCTATCCACCATGCCTGGTAACATCATACTTTGTGTGAATTACAGATGCACCACCTTTGAACCCTGCTGTGGCCCCCTTGGCATGGCTTCTGGGGACCTGGGTGTCCGATCCCCTTGGGGAGGGGGAGTTCCCCTCTATACCATCATTTCACTACACAGAGAAAGCTGTCATATCACACGTTGGGCAGCCTATGCTGAATTTCACGTGAGTAGTCTGGAGAAGAAAAAAATTATTTTCTGTTCACTAAAATAGATGCAAAAATATTATTGTTTATTATTATGTATACAGTGTCATTATCTTCCTTAGTGTGCAGGTGTTAATGTGATAGTATTATAACTTCCACAAATACATGACCCAAAAGGAATGAGAGCCTTGCTGAAATGAAATTATAATATAAGCTTTATACTCCTAGTACAGACAACCAATTCCAGCATACAGAGGAACAAAGTTTTGTATGACAGTTCATGTTGGTGTCTCCATACTGCTCTAATGAAGCAGCCCAAATCATACATAGTGGTGGTGTCATGCTAAGCATGTTTGAAATGCATGAAGGTCTGTTTATAAACAATTCATATGGTCACTAGAGGGCGCTGAGGAGAATAAGAAATGAATGCTTATTTCCTACGCTCTTCAGCTCCATCTAGTGGCCATAATGCAATATTATATCACAATACATTCGACCTGAAAAGAAAATATATTAACCACTTGAAGTCCGCGTTTTTAAACCCCTTTCCTGCCCAGGCCATTTTTCAGTATTCAGCGTTGCGGTACTTTGACTGATGTTTATTCTGTCATGCAACGCTGTACTGAAATTAATTTTCTACCATTTTTTGGGGACAGATGGAGCTTTATTTTGGTGGTATTTAATCACCACTGGGGGTTTTATTTTTTGCTATATTAACCACCTGCTGTCCGGCCGTTGTAATTAAACGGCCGGACAGCGGCTTCTTGAATGCGGGTGGGCGTTTTTAAACGGCGTTTGAGCGGGAAATCAGCCTGCAATGTAAACAGCCGGCGATGGCTGTTTACATACAAGCGTTCGGGCGTCTGTAGAGACGCCCAATCGCTTGTAATATCGCCTGTAATACGGTGTGAGCCCGGGACCAGCACAGCAGCTCTGCGGCCGGAGATCAAACAAAGCTCAGTACACGAGCTCCATTTGATCTCCTCCTCCTCTTCGGAATGCAGGCAGTGATGTGTATTACAACACTTCCTGCATTCAGTGCCACTCTCCAGTACAGAAAGAGAAGCTGGTGAAGCAGGGGTTTGTTCATCAGCTTCTCTGGGGGTCCCTAGGTGACATTAGGGGTCTTAAAGACCCCTAATAAAGAGGACCTGTCACTGAAAATTGGCTATCACAAACGTGGCTTGTTAGTCCCCTATGTGATAGCAATAAAGTTAAGTGAAAAAAAAATGTTTAAAAGAATTAGTTACCAAAAAAATATAAAAAAATTAAAAGTCACATATAAAGGTAATAAAAAAAATGTTTTTAAGTCCCCCGCCCCCCACATACACATGCAAACATGCGTCGAGTGCGCCTAAGTGCGTAAACGACGATTACATCCATTACGCCGCACATGTTACGTATCGGCGCGAACGTCGCAGTGAGAGCAATACTTCTAGGGCCATCAATCACTGATAACACTAACCTGATGAGCGGTAAAAGCTTTTAAAGCGTCGCCTATGGCCAATTTTGGGTATGGTAGTTTTTGCGAGTTCGCGGATGCACACAATTTTAAAGCTTGACATGTTTGGTGTCTATTTACCCGACGTGACCCCGACTTTTATATTTTGCCAAAAATGTGGGTAATAATAATTGTTTTATAACATAACGTAGGGAAAACAGTTTTTTTTCCCCCAAATTTTCTGTACTTTTTTCATTTTATATAGTAAAAAATAAAACCCCCAGTGGTGATTCAATACCACCAAAAGAAAGCTCTATCTGTCCCACAAAAAATGGTATAAAATTCATTTTAGTCCAGCGTTGCATGACAGAATAAATGTCAGTCAAAGTACCGCAGCGCTGAATTCTGGAAAATGGCCTGGCCAGGAAGGGGGTCTAAACCCCCCCGGTCAACAAGTGGTTAAGGAAAAATTACAGAAAAGAAAACTGTTTCTCCTATCTTAAATTATAAAACATTTATTATTACACAATTTTTTGGTAAAATATAAAAAGCGGGGTCACATCGGGTAAAAAGACACCAAACATGTCAAGCCTTAAAATTGCGCGCACACACGAAACCTCAAAAAACTACAAAACCCAAAATTGGCCATATGCGACGCTTTAAAAGCCTTTACCGCTCATCAGTTTAGTGTCATCAGTGATTGATGACCCTAAAATGTTTGCTCTCACTCCAACGTTTGCGTCGATATGTAACATGTGTAACGCAATTGTCATTTTTTGGTGCGCTGACGCATATTTACGCTTATATGTGCGTAAACGTGGGGGACTTAAAGATTTTGGGTTTTTTAAAAACTTTTATTTTTGTTAACTTTTTTTATTTATATATTATTATTTTTTTGCACTTATTGTTATTGCTGTTACATAGGGGGATAACAATCCTCCTATATAATAGCAAAGGCACACTGACAGGTCCTCTTTATGGAGACATTAGTGGTCTCTAGGACCCCTAAATTCTATGTGAAAAAGCCGATAACGGCTGTAAAGAACGGGCAGGTTTTTCCTGCCCGTGCGCAGGAAAAAAAATGCCGTCTAATGACGGCAACCTGCGAATGTGAGTCTGCCATCCGTCCGTTTTTTCTCAACGGGCGGACGGCAGGAGGTTAAAAACATTTGTTTTTGCCATTTTTTTTGCACCAAACAAATGTTCACAGATGTTCTCAGGCCTCTATGCATTGTTTATAAATAGATGCCTTGGTGTGATTTCACTGTAAAGCTGCCTCATATTAGGGTTTTGTCCATATCAGATTCAGCTGCCATTTACAGTGTTGGGTTCAGTAATATAACGTAAGCTGGACCTGCTCTGGTAGAATTTCATACGAATGTTCATTAAAACAACTCATCAGAACATTTGATAAAGTCATCAGAGACTTGACAAATTTATATATGAAATATTGTTTGATTTTAACATTCGATTTTGGAATGAATGAAACCACATCCACTGTTAAAATGTTATTCATTTTAGAAAAACATTCCACCTTGATTCATATGTTTGTTTTTTCTGTCACTAAGGTCAAAAAGATCATGGATTTGACCCTATAATTAGAAAATCGAGTGAATATGAAAGCCCTTATGAGATGGCAACACCATCATTTTCGTGTTGTTCTACAATGAGTAACTGTCCCTGGTTCTTCCCTATAAATCACTGCGTGGATATAGATCATGTGATGAAGAATAGTGTTGATGATGACATATAGTTGTTTTTATTCCCTCATTCTGATTTCCATTCAGTATAAACAGGATGTAAGATGCGGGTTGGAAGAAGGAACTGTTGTATTTATTATATGAACAGAGCATTTGGAAGGCATGCGATGAGAATTGATATTTATGGGTAATGTTATTATGCAGGTTTTGTGCCTCCAATCCTGAAACTGGCAAGCCACTGCACAGAGAATGTGGATTCATCCGTGTGAAGCCAGGAACCAACCAGGTGGCATTTGTATGTGCACAGAACATAGGTACTGATACAGTGAATGGCTTGGTTTTCATAAGCATACATACACTATATTGACATTTTGCATTCTAATCAGGTAGATAATATGAGGATATGAAGGTCAGGAGTTGGAGTATATGTGTAATTTATTTACAGTAATACAGAGTTAAACATTTTTTCAGTTTAACTTGAACATCCTGAAGGATCTGGATTGTTTTATTTAAATAGGTCAGTCCACCCAAGTGGGCAGTTTTGCTTTTTCCACCATATTCTGGCCCGTTTTGGGTGTTCTAGCACCTTCTGTTTCATCCTCTATAATATAAAATACAGCAGGAAGAGTGGGACTTCCTATTAATGGCCAAGCCCAGGAAATCAAGTACAAAGTTATCACCTATAAAGTCCCCAAGAGATAAACAAAACTGTGAGAAGGTTTAAGGGCAGGTTCACACCAGTTTCCGGACCAGATCTGGTCCGGAAAATGGTGTGAAGCTGCCCGCAGTTCCAGTGTATTCCAAACCAGACAAAAGGAGACATGCAGTATTTTTCTGGTCTGGAACAGACCGCGCTGGTGTGAACAGAGGCCAGAAATAGCATAGGGATACATTAGGATGCATTTTGGGTTCGGAATGAATCTGGTCTGGTCTGGAGATGATCTGGATGTGGTGTGAATGGGCCCTAACTCTCCAGCGTCTACTACAACTGAAATATCCGTTTTGGGGGACCAGGTCATTTAAGGGCCCATGCATAAATTAGGATAGACTAAAGCTGGCCATTCAGCTCTGTGGGGGTAAACGAGAACACCTCTCAATTCTCCCATTCACGCTAAGCATAACTGAAAACCTAATCTTAAGTAAATTACTCTTGCACTAAACTGAACCTTTACCCCTAACCTCAGATTAGTATTCAAAAATACATCAACAACACACATTTTGTCACCTTTCTTATCCTGTATTTGCTTTAGGTGTTGTGGAGGTGGAAGAAGGGGAAGTGCAGGGGGAGCAGCTCACTCTGACCTCACACTCACTCAGCAGAATAAGCTTTGCCAAGAAGCCTCATGTGCAGCAGGTAAGAGCAGAAGTGCCTGAGCAGGGAAAGTGCACTCATGGAATTTTCTTTAAAAAATAATGCCTCTGGTTGGCCAAAAATCTGTATATTACTTTAAAGGTAATGCAAATGGATTTTTTAATATTCTTTATGTTTGTTTGGGGAATGGGGAAAATACCACATTATGGCCACTAGATGAAGAAAATAAATACATTATAGTAAGGAGATACAGTGTTGTAATTCTAGAGAGTGCGAGAGGTAGGCCTCTTTCACATGGGTGCCTTCAGTTCCGATTAGTAGGGGATCCGTGCACAGATACCCTGCCGATAGGAGCAGTTTGGAACGTCCAGTTTTTTCCTCCATCTTGCAATGGAGGAAAAAAATGAAATCACCAGACCCATGTTGGTCTATGGGAATTCGGATACAAATGTATCTATTTACATCAGATTACCCCAATCCGCCACAATGAGGTCCGCCAAAACAAAATTCTGTTCCGTTTGGTTTTCCGGGCCTGGCCAGAGTCTGGGGTAACCAGATGTTAACGTACGGAAGTCCATTAAGATGCAGCTGCCCATAGACTCACACTGGACTCCCGATCTAACTGACAGGCGGACCTGATCGGAATACCTGTGTGAAAGGGCTCATAATGAGCATAAAATATAACCATTGGCAGGGATAGCAATGGTTACAAATATATGCTCATTCTCTCCAGCGGTCTCTTGAATTGTATCTCATTACTAACATGCATTTATCTAGTGACCAAAATGTTTTATTTCCCCATTCCCTCTGTTCTGTATGATTGAACCTATAGAAGAACATTCGACCAAAAGAAAATTTACACTAAGAACATTTGTTTTTGTCCCATTATCACAAGAGCTGGTTAACTCGCACAGAATGAATGTACATAGAGTTTCGCTGGACGAATAAGCTACGCACTTGTGTAAGCACACCCCCATGTGTAAGTTACAGTTGTTGGGATTTCAGACTGCCCAGACCTTGCTCCAGGAGTATGAATGTGTGGCTAGCAAAATTAATTGGTTGCATTTCATGTTGCTGAAACATGATCACTAGTGGTCATGTAAAAGCACACAAAGCTTGTAGGTCATATTGTTTACTATTATTCCACTAACAATGTTCTCCTTTTCTGCAGATTTCCCGCATCTTCCGTCTGACCCCTGAAGGGAAACTGGAACAGACAGTCTCCATGGCAACCAGCACACAGACCATGGCTCCTCACTTACGGGTTACATACAAGAAAGTGACTTCATAATTGCTAGTGTCCAAGATGTGGAAATGCCTTACGGGACCTGATAATATTCAAAGCTGCTAAATGTTCCACCATGTCCTAATAAATGGTTTATTTTTCCACAAACTCGTACCAAAGAATCATTACTAGTCCTCTTATGAATCATTTCTACACTGATCAGCTGACTTCATGCAAATCATTTGTGATGTCTGATGGGCACATCTGAAGGTGAGCTTGTGCTTGCGCACACCGGCCCGTGTGGTATTTATCTTACAAACATGCCACACACCCGCCTACGTCTTATAGTAGCAGAGGTCGCACGCCTTCCACACCCGCGATTATCGCAAGGTGTGTGGGCACCTTTTAGAGATGTCAAGACCTTGAAAGGGAAAGTAATCTGTTTCATGGCTGTATAAATGTTCATGTGAAAGCAATCAGCTTAAAGCATTATGTAGCCATTGAAACAATAAAACATATCTAAACCGGGGGGAAAAAATGTAATATGTTGCAGCTTACTGGTGCTCTAATGTGGTAGTTTTATTTTCATTTTTAGCTGGTGATAGTGCCAGTAATGCACTACTTCAGTGCTCAGGTAGTTATCAGCTCACACAATTTCTAGCAGTATCAACATGTAATTTTTTCATTTATGAAGTGAAAATCAGCTGACCCACTAAAAAGTGGCACAAAGGTATTTCTTGAAGGTATTGGGTTCCATAAATGACATACAACTAGTAAAATTCAAGTCAGAGTAATATAATGAGTTTATGATTAGAGGCCTAGTGGGTCTAAGGATTGGAAGGGAGAATCTGCTTTGGTCAAGAAATAAGTCAAAGCATGAAAAGGAACTTGGTGCTGCATTGGGACTGCCTGTCTTTGAACGGTCTGCAGGTCATGAATGTTTTCATGGTATAAAATAATATATATATTGTAGCTTACGTGGTGCTGGCCTATGTGGTGGCAGCATTATTTTCCTATTTTAGGGGGGGGTTTCACCTGGTGATCGGGCCAGTAGGTCAGTTTCCATTTAAAGATCAAGCTGTCGAGGTACACATTTAATATGTATGTATATATAAATATTAAACTCTATGCATATGAGAAGACCAAGCTGTCCAGCGAAAGTGGCAAATAGAGGGTTAAGAAAAAAAAAAACAGTGTTTTTTTTTTTTTTTTTGATTGGACGGCTTGGACCAATGGTGCTTTGCCATCGGTCCAAACCATCCACAGAGCTCAAGCCTCTGACTCCATGTCTTATGCTTGTTGTAGCTCTGGCCTCACTGTGTTAGGTTACACACCAGTGAGGAAGCCTGCTGCTGTGTAACAACATAGCCGTCAAAGCCAGATGAAGAGCCGCCTGTAATGAACAGGCGGGCGCACCATCCAAGACAGGTTATACAGTGGGGAGGCTTTCCCTGCTGTGTAACCTGTTAGAAGCAGGTCTAAGTGGAGAAAAAGCTGTTTTCTTTCATAATGGCAGGGGAGGCTCTTTCTCACCTGCTTCCCCAGACTGCATGTCCGTGGCATATTCCAACATATATAACTTACCCAGATGGGGTTTTTTTAAATCAAAACTGGTTACATTTAAAGGTTTACACATTATGGTATAACGCTGACCAGTACCAAAACTTTTTAACTCGAAGATCATTTCCATTTCAAAGGTTTTGTTTTCAAGGTAGGTACAGCAAAAAAGGTAGTATGGTACAATCCAGGTGCACAAGTATTGCAGGAGATGGGACAAGCACATAACTCTGGAAATGGTTATAGGTTATAACACATAGTGTAGAGTAGTGCTGGCAATGTGGATCTATGAGCTAAATTGTGTTTAAGAATGAATGGTGCTAGCCACAAATATAGTCATGTAATTTGGGAGCTTATGGGCATAGGTGGATAGGATACCAGCTGATCATAGGAACAAATGTAACCCTTAACATTGCTTGCTGGAAATAATGCATGATGGCATATGCTGTCTAGAAAAATCGAGATTGTATCACATCAAGCAGCAGAAAAATAGAGGCAAAGCACACTGGGAATCCTGGCAATTGGCAATTGATGAAATTGATAGCAGATGGAAGGCAGCACTCACTACATAAAAGGGATTTTTTCATGTAAGCTTTGATTGCATTATGAAAAACAACTCTGGTATGTATTCCTATTACAATGCTGATGTTATAACAGGATAGTATATACTAGGACTTTACAACTCCCTTAAGTTGTAGTGGGTGTACTGTGTCGGGAATGGAGGAGGTGGGAGGAGGAAGGGGGTAGTACGATGTTCAGTACAATTAATTTAGATTGATGCTTAATACCAGAATAGTTGAGAATTGCTATATGAATTGGAAAAAGGATGGACGGGATGTCGGGATGTTAAAAGAAGACCAACTAACTCCACACCGAATATTTCAATGGTCCCTAATGAGCATGGCACGGAGTTCAGTTGCTAATTTGAAGAGAATAGGAGACAGTGGGCAGCCCTGTCAAATGCCTTGATGAACCCTAACATCCTCAGAACTAGAGCCAGTGTACATTAATTTAGAGATATTTTCAAACAATGTTTTCACTATAAACCTCACTCCCATTGTTCTGTGAACCCCTTAGCTTTCCTTGCATAACTATATGAAGTAATGGTAGAGAATCCTAAGAAGAGATACAGTTCCTCCCTATCAAAACTGAAGCAGACGAGGTCTAGGCTCACAAGATCTCATTGTGAACTATCTGCACTGCCTAGAAATCACTAACATGTTAGATCATTAGTACCTTACAGCTGAGTTTCTCCATGAAAAAATGTTGCAGGTGTTATAAATCTATTGGCTCCTTCCTTCTAAATATAGGTCAATCTACAGTTTATTGTCAGATTGCACCTTTTCATGTATCTTCACCATCTTCACTATCTTCCTGTAATACATTGTAGCTTGCCATTTGTTAGCTGTAGATACTTTATGTTGTGCTCTTTTAATTGATGTTGTACCTTTTTTAAAAAAATGTGGATAGTTGTGGCTGGTGATCCTGTACAATGCAGTGACAGTCTGACAGGAGCCGCAGTGGCCTGCTGGTGTTTAGATGCAACTGCTAATGGAGAGATTACTTGTAGTTAGGGACAGATGATCTCCCAGCTTGCGTCTAGGGGCGATCACTGGCCCTAACCACAGGTAATCGTTCTGTATACAATTACATCCAAACACCAACAGACAGCTGTGGCTGCTGTCAACCTGTCATTGCTTTGTAAAGGCACAGTGACTACAACTATCCAACTGTGAATCCAGCCCCAGGAATCCGATGGATACCTTTCAGCATATCTAAACCCCAAAGCAAAAATGACAATACTGCAGCTTACCAATCCCTAAATGTGGTGGCCGCATTAGTTTTCTTTTTAAGCTTTTCTTCCTTTATTTGTACCTGGTGATCTGGCCAGTAGCACACTTCCTCTTCTGCAGTGCCTCCCCTCTATGGAGGAGCAATGCAGCAACCCATTGATAGCAGCGTTGTCACCCTGTAGTGAGAGTAGTGTTAGATACACTTTCAGAGTAAATGGACTTGACCAACAAATTAACTCTGAACTCCAAGTAATACTTTTTAAGCAGCTATAGTTTTTTTGGGGGGGGGATAAAGGTTGTAAATAAATAAAGTTAACCACTGTCAGGGGTATATAGTGTGCCTCAACCCTCTATGTACTACTTTTTCTGGACAGCTTGGCCGGTAAAGGAAGATGAAAAATTTGGGACTTACTGGCCAGATCACCAGGTAAAAATGAAGGGGAAAAAAGCAAACTAACGCATCCACCACATCTAAGTTGCAATATATTAAATATTTGCTTTTGGTTTTAGATATGCTTTAAACCATATTAAAGGGTATCCTTGGTCAAAAACTAAAATTAAATCTGTATTTCTATATTGAATTTCCATAAGTTCTATCCCTCTCCTAATAACCATATCCATCTAGAAGTTTGTGAACTTACTTATTGAAGATGCCCATAGAATGGACTGCCTCAATGCACTAAATTAATTTTATTCAGCTTTGTGAATATGAACTTCTTTGTGTCACAACTGTTACATAGCCTGCCTTCTAAACTACAAGTCAGTGTCTGAACAATGTAACAATATCATTGCTTGCTGGAAACAATGCATAATGGGATACGTAGTCTTGAGAAATTGAGATTGTATCATATCAAGCAGCAGAGAAAGAGGCGCAAAGCACACTGGGAATCCAGGAAGTAGGTGAAAGTGATGGGCAGACGGAAGGCAGCACTCACTATGTAAAAGGGATTTTTTTCCAGTAAGCTTTGATTACATTATCAATAACAACTCTTGTATATATCCCTATTACAAGGCTGATGTTATAACAGGATAGTATGTGCTGGGACTCGGGGACTCATTTAACTATGAATTAAATACATTTAGAAAACATAACTGTACACAGTACTTGAAATGCAATTTAAACCAGTAGGAGGCAATGTAGTGTCACAGTTGTGAACAGCTTCTTGCATCGTATCTGAGCTAGTAATACGTGGACAGCTTTTCAATACATGGTATGAACTGCCAGCACAAGCATATTGATTTTCTAACCAAATGTAACTCTATCACTTTCAAAAACATATAATAAAAATGCAGCATATATCAGATATTGTCTTTGGAAAAATGGAGTTGCTTGGTTATAGCAAACACATTTTCTCTGGAATACAGTTCCTTCCTTTTAATTAATTTAGGAGTGACGTTATTAAACTTTGACATTCCTTCCTTCCTCTTGTTCATTGCGCATTAGCTTGTGTCATTAACTTTTGCACTCTATGTACTATTAGAGATACAATGTTCATCATCTTTGGCAGAATTCTCTTCTTCATGTCATTCAGCATTCGTAAATACTTTTTCCCATTTTTTTTGTGGTAAAATTAGGTACCTCGGCTTATATTCGGGACGGCTTATACTCGAGTATATACGGTATTCAAATCTTCTAAAACTCACTTCTTCATACAAGTGTATACGTTGGCCCAATCTATTCAGTTCTAGCTCCTGCTTTAGCTACACACAGATCTTTTTATAAAGAATTCATAGGTCCCTTAGCCGTGCGAATATCTGTGACCTTAATTTTTGGATAAATAATGTCAAAAATAAATATTC